ATCTTTTGTTCATTCGGTTATTTTCTCGATAACTCCGTCGTTCGATTTTGCTTCACCAAGCTATCACCCAGTTTCTATTGTTGTGGTGCTGTTTGATTTAACTGCCTGAATACAACTGTCAGTAGTCGATCAAAAAGGCTTTCTAAAGTTAGTAATTTTAGGACTAGTAGTGTTTGATATTAAGTACCAGTGAATCGTGGAAAGTGGGGAAACCTTGGGCAGTACTGCTTCTTCAAGTTTCTACAATTCTCATTCTTAATTTAGATATTTCGTTTTTAAGTGTACACGTCTTAAACATATATTGTCCAATGAGGGATAATTTATCAAACCTTCGGTTTGTCGCCTTTCAAATTTCGTAACTGATTTCCGAAATCCTGTGATGCTCGATAGTTGTGTTTATCGGGTACTGATTATTTATGTATATTTGCACAGGGCCCGCAAATGTTATTTATTTTATTCCTGTTTAATCACACTCATCAGCTAGCTTTACTTTCTGACCAGCTTAATTATGATATTTCGTACCCGTTTGCCATAATCGACCACGAGGTAGCAAGACTATGTCTGCCGATTACCACTGTATCTGAGCCAAGGAATGGCTCGCGCCCGAGTACATCGTGTTACCTCACCGGTGAGTCTCACCCAGTCAGAACTAGACAGAGTTGTGGCCTGTCATCAAGTGCTTGCTGAATTGGTCATAAATATTGCCGATCTGTCGCATGTTGGGCTGCAATTTGCTAATCTGCGACTTCGTTCCCTGGTCGATCGGAAAAGTATCGGATCATCTAGTTCCAAAGCACTGGCAGTTCGAGATCCGTTCGAGGAACTGGTTTTCAAACCAGATAAATCACGTTTCCTGGGATTGATAACGCTGTTGCGTTCGCCATGTAAGTCATTAATGAGCAAATGCGTTGTAGAAGATGCAGTGTCTTATACTGTGCGAATATTCATGTGGTCATCTGCATGTTGTAGTTTGATTTCAGGTCAAATTAGCGAATCCTCACCACTGTTTTCTCATTACGAGTCCTTAACCTTAACAAGAAAGCTATCGATATATTCTTCTATCCGAGGTATACCGTGGAATGTGCATATATATATATATATATATATATATATATCGTCA